CCCAAACATACAGTCAACTGATTTTTGACAAGGGGTACCAGTCAATCCAGTGGGAAAAGCAAAACCTCTTCAGCAAATGGTGCTGGAAAAAATCGAATTTCCACCTGCAGAAAGATGAATCAGAACCCCTACCTCTCACCTTTGACAAAAATCAAGTCAAGGTGGATCAAAGATCTAAATCTGAGACCTCAAACTATAAAACTGTTCCCGGAAAACACTGGGGAAACTCTGGGAGACATTGGGGTAGGCAGAGACTTCTTAAATAAAAAACCCAAAGTGCAGAGGTTAATGCCCAAATTAGACAAGTGTGATTACACCAGACTGAGAAGTTTCTGCATGGCAAAAGACACAGTAATTAGTGTGAATCGACAGCCCTCAAAATGGGAAAATATTTTTGTAAGTTATTTATCAGATAAGGGGCTGATAACCAGAATACACAAGGAACTCAAGCAGCTGTTCCGAAAAAAAGATGATCGACCCTATTAAAAGATGGGAGAATGAATTGAAAAAAAAAAAAAACGCTCTCTAATAAAGATGACATATGAATAGCCAAAAGGCATATGAAAAAATGCTCAACATCCCTCATCGTAAGGGAAATGTAGATCAAAACAACAATGAGATACCACCTAACCCCAGTCAGAGTGACTAAGATTAAAAAAAAAACAAAAAATGGGACCAGCAGTTAGCATAATGGCTATGTTGCTGGACTCCCATGTAGTCGACCACAATTCAAGTCCCAGACCTGGTGGTTTAAAATCACACCAGGCTTGTGTATGTGCGTGCCCAAGATCCCAAGAGGAGAATGGAGGCCAAAAAAAAAAAATTTAAAAAAATGATAAATGATGGTGGGGATGTGGTGAAAGGGGAACTCTCTTTTTTATTTATCTTTATTTATTTATTTTCTTCTTCTTCTTCTTTTTTTTTTTTTTAATTTGACCAGAGAGAGGAACAGAGAGACAAAGAGAGAAAATGAGGAAGCAAGGTGCCAGGTCTGGGACTTGAACCGCAGTCAGCCATGTGGGAGTCCAGCGGCTCCAACCACCATGTCATCTGCTGGCCCCATTACTTTGTATTCTTTATGATTTTAAGGACATACATTTTTCCTGTTTACCAATCATCATGTTCCTTAAAAGTTTGTAAGAGTCTCTGTGGTAGGCAGAATTCTAGGAGGACCTCCAATGACCTTATATAAACTCCTGTCCTTCAGTTTGGATAGGACCTGTGAATATGATATCACTTCCATGGTTTTGTTACATCATATTGCAGGAAGGACTTTACAGAGATAATTAAGTTTCCATGTTGATATTCTAAAACAGTTTATGTTAGAGGGCACGTGTTCATGCATGAGCGAGGAGGACAGAAAGCACCCCTCAGTGGAATCTAGTAATGGCACTATCTTTTCCCCTCTAATTCTCCCTCCTGTCAGGATCCTGCCCATGTGTATACCTAGTGTGAAGTCACTGAAGTCAGGATTTGAACTCCAGTAGGTCATATGGGATCTGGCTTTCCTTTGCACAGAACCTAACCACTGTGCCATGGAGCTTGCCTTCGTGCTGACTTTAAGAGAGAGATTATCTTGGGGTCTGACCCAATCACATGAGCTCTTCAAATCTTGGTCCAGAAGTCAGAGATAGAGAAAGTCAGAGATTTGAGGCACAAAATAGATTTGACATGCTATTACTAGCTTAAAGGTAGAGGGAAATAACAGCAGGGAATGCAGGGACCTTTATGATCTGAGCATTGACTCGGGATGACAAGGCAACAGCAATAAACTGAATTCTACCGAGAATGAGTTTAGAAGAGAATTTTGTTCTGGAGATTCAAGATGTGAACTCCGCTCAGTAGATACCTTGATTTCCATCTTGTAAGATCATGAATAGGGAACCTTACTGAGGTAGGAGACAGGGATCCTAAGAAGATATTTAGAGTATTGGCCCCAAATGGAATCACAGAATGGCTAAGTTTTAAGATGGAGACAAAACAGTTTGACTG